TATATTAGTTCCTTTTTGATTCAAAATAAGCGCTATGTTCTGGCGATGCTACTTTTAAAGTTAAATGAAGTCTTGATACTATGCTAATGGTGTAAACACACTCCCTATCTATTTCTTTAGGTATTCAAATTCTATTGCCTACATTTGAATAGCTACACGGAAAAACTGGAAATGGGCAAGCGTAGAGTTTCATATAGAAGAGAGAATAGAAAATAAGTTTCATATTAGTCGAATAATTTAGACCTCTACAGATGGTACCATTCTTATCTTCATTCAATGAAATTTCAATGTATTTACACCAAATTATTTCTATTTTACTACTTTTTCGTAACTCTTGTAGCATCCTGTGATTCCAATCTAATCTAATAAAATTACCAATAAAATTTAAATTAGTTCAGTCCTGAACAAGGCTCGTTTCTAGTATAAAATTGATATTCTAAAGATAAACATAAAGTGGTAGATATGCTAAGGTTTTATTATATACCACAGAGGTAGTGTTATCTTTAACACAAATCAGACTCCCTTTTAGACTTACGGTCTATTGTTAGCTATATAATGTAATTAATCACTTCATAATCAATACCATTACATAAATATGTTGACCGAGAATTAAACTAGTGAAGCAATGGGTGCAAATATAGTATGCATGAAATAAAAAGTATCGATGAATAAGAAGAATAAGAAACTAACACGTGAGGCAGTTTCAGGTAATTGAGCATGTAAGGGAAATATCAAGCGAACTAAAGTGAAATATTTATTACAATGAAATACATTTTTCTGAATGATGTACAGTGTAAACTGTTCAGTATTGATTTTGCTCTCGAAAAAACTTCCCTTTTATGTTAACTCAAAACAAAGAATATTAGGAGAATATTTTATAACTGCTATAAATCGGGTTGTTAAAATGGTAATAATAGCAATTGATATAGACACTTATGATGCAATTGTCTGATAATCAAATACTGTCATCTTTGTTATCTAAAAATAAGTAACTATAACTTCTATAAGATAATCAGTAAAGCAATTTCAGGAGTACTTCAGGGGTCCTCGTCTTTTCGTAGTCCTAATTAATGACACTGCGGATAATTTAGCATTATTTTACCAACTTTATGCTGACGATATGAAACTTTTCTGTTCCATTACCTTAGAGTCAGATTGTATAAGTTTCAAAATGATTTGATTAAAATTAATTACTGCAGTGTAATAAATAATCTTCAGTTAGATGTAATGTATGTCGCTTTCTAAAAAGCGTAACCCAATATCATAAATTAAATCATGCCACCTTTTATTTTTATAATTGACCTTGAAATGACATGTTATAAGTAAGTTTTGCTTATACTTACGTTTAGTATCTGCAGAACTGCAAAACGTATATCGTGGGTATAAGAAACATGTGGAACATAAGCGTTATTTTTCAAGAAAGTAATATAAACGAAAGTTATATAGCATATAAGCATCGTTCTTGTATGTACGTTGGATATCATAGCACTAATTCTGTAGAAATCTAAGCTAATATGAGTGTCATATTTTCTTGTGAAAGAGAAAAACCTTAGTGGAGTTTTTTCTTTTTGTCCGATTCCTTTTAATATTTGATGGTTGAGATAGTTTTGCCACAGCATATAAATGCTGTGGTTTAGTGTAAAGTTACCTAAATATTAGAAAAATTGTCAAATGAACATTTTGTCAATAAAATAATTAAAGAAAAACGTCCAAAATTATTCTACGATAATTATACGAGAAGTCTAACATTTTGTTGAACACATAATTAAAGAAGTTTTTAAAAATTATCATCAAAACTATGAAGAATATGAGGCGAAAATTATATGGTGATGTAAAATTTGAGTTTACTATTTTAGATTGGAAACAATCAGATTAATAAACCAATGAGTTAAACCACCCCCAAAGGCAGTAATCAACCGAGTTCAAATTTGGTGACCTTGATGGCCAATTTTGGAAACCACTACGGACAATTCGATAAAAATTAAAAATAAATGTGACAGATATAGCTATATCTATAGTTTAGATCATAATGGTCAGAATAAATTAAACAAATACTAATCGCTAATGTGAGTTTTGTTTAGAATACAAGACCTACTCGAAATAAACATCAAATAATAACAGCTTTCGCAATAATATGAATAGCAATAAAAATATTTTCATTGATATCTCAATAATCGTTGACGTAACCGTTGACATTCGACCGTAGGCTTATTAGGCTTCTTGAGGGTGTGAGATTTAGCCCTATATAAATTTAAAAATGGAAATATTCTGAAATATCGCTTTTCAACACATATAATATAAAGATTTATTCCAGAATTTATGTTATCTTTGATATTCTAAAGTGATATATTCGGTAGCATTTAAGCGAATAAGGCATTGAAAAATAGTTCTTCACGTATGCCCCAATTTTGAAAGTTCGAACTAAAAATACATAATTCGAACACTTTATATACATTTATAAATCGCTAATGTGATGTACAGTGTAAACTGTTTCATTTTCGACATGTTTGAAATCTGTAATTCATAGATATTTATTTGAAGACTGAGGCTATAATGAATAAAAAATATAGTGTTTCTAATTTTGGGGCGTACTATAAAAAATATATTAATACTCTTTACCTATGATGCTATAAAACAAGTAAGTAATTAAATTGCGTAGACATATGGAAATACAGGGTGATTCAGAAAAAAAAATTGGATGTACAGGGACTCTGCAAAAATCAAAAAGGGCATTTCGAAAATGATTTATAACTGCACGGCACTGGCAATTGGTCCACTGTAAAACCTGACCTTAGGCAAAGTGTAATAAAAAATTGACAAAAACTTGAAAAAATTTCACAAGGAAGGAAATAAATAGAATTTTATAACACCTATTTTAAAGCAAATTCAACTGTTTTTGCCTCTATTAATATTATTAATTACTTAATAAAATAATTTGACATGCCTGATGTTACCACAACTGTTGAATTTTTTGTCCACCGACGTGTAAACACCCTTCTTACACAGTTTCTACTATCACAAATGTTGTCTTGCTTGACCATAACATAAATGTTGCCTTGCTTCACCATAAATTAAAACGATATCCATCAACTCCAAGTTGCTATACACGCAAGCCATTTTTGACACTAACTACTAAAAAACTATTGTAAACACTATCGTAACGACGATTGTAAAATCGTATATTCGGAGTCGCTGAGGCCACGTGACTCTCACGCGTATTGCGAATGACGTTAGAGACTAGTTGTCTAGCGATGCGATGTTGCTATACACGTAAGCCATTTTTGACACTAACTATTAAAAAACTATGGTAAATACTATCGCAATGGCGTTAAAACTAATTGTAAAATCGGATTTGAGTATATATTTATGAGACTTGGCTATGTTGTAGAAAAAAATACGAGAACGTATATTTTCTTGTCTGCCGATAAACATTTTAAAGGGGTAAAAAGCACCCCTAAAGTTTACCCCCAAAAACAGTCCTCTGTTTCTGTGTTCCCTACACAATTGTATTTCCTTCTAAAAAAGTGATACATTTTTTTTGTTCTGTTTGCTATAAATATCCTTCAGCAGAACCACTTTGTATAAGTTTACGTGTGTCCCTGGACCTTAGATTTAACTGACAGATTTCAACTCTGGGGACCCAGAAGATACACAGCAGGGTAGGCACATAATTTTAGTAAGTATATACAAACATAGGTCCACAGAATAACTCCTCTGGGATAAACTACACGAATACTAAATGCAACACTTGCTTTTAAGTGATGTACTTTGTAACCGGTATGGTTATTTTGTTTGTTTAAACCACATGCAAACCCACAAGGCACAACATATATGCTTACATAAGTAATTTACAACAGCTGAGGGCATATATAGTTTCAAATTGTACTTATATAGAAAAAAATTGCAGTATTGATGTTATGAAACACCATAATTCACAAGATTATAACAATTTGTTGAATGCAAATTTACTTCTACTATAATTTGTTTCTTCTACATTTTTTTAAAATTTTTTCCTAGATCTAGAATGTTATTAAATTTTTATGTATAGTGAAAAGAAACTTTCATTCGGAGTGACGTCTAGAAAAATGTGCATAAAAATCGTATTCGCATATAAGCAATTGCAAAAGTTATAAACAAATAGAGATTAGAAAAAGGGTTCGGTTTTTTGCAAATAATTCGAAAAATATTTGCATAGGCGTCAGTTTGAAAAAAGATCACAAAAGAAGAGGAAATTTCCTAAAAAAAATTTCTCAACTCCCAAATCTGTATGGTCATTATTTATTTTAATTTAATATTGAAACGGTGCTGCGAACATAAAAAGGAAGAATAAATTTTTTTTTATGATATTAAATGTTAAATGTAAAAATTAAAAAAAAATCATCGTATTATTTAGACACTTGAATAAAAAAAAATCGTTTAGAAACAAATTTCTCATAGATTTTTCAAGAAATAGGACATTTCTTAATCAACCAAAAATTTTATAGGGAATATTCAAAGTCGGACTATCGTTTGAAACAAAAGGTGCTAAAATTATTTCATGGCAAAAAGTGGCAAATAATATTGGCACTGTTTTTGTGTTAAAAAGTGTCATTAAAAACATTATCTAAAAATTTATCTTTTTTTATTTAATACTTTGGCAATTATTTATGTACGAATAAGATTTTTATGCACATTTTTCTAGACGTTATCCCTTAACTTGAATTCTCAGTATTTTTCGGGGTTTTGCAGATATTAACTAGTCTACTAATGATAATGACTGAGGATATACTTTCTTCACTTAGGCATAAAATCGTTATGACTTTAAAAGTTTCTCTTTTAATTTTCAATATATTATGTAGATATAAATACACATTTTATTACCTTAAAACTACGTTGATTTTATCTGGTGCTTTCTAAACCCATGTCAAAACTTCAGTATGGAGTATAATAAATAATACTTACTTTTTCCTTCGTTTGGTAAATAATTATAAATCTAATATAGCGAAATGAAATACAAAAACTTTTTTATTTAAACTTTATTTATATACTGTAACAACAGTAGAAGGAAATATACCTAATTTACACCAACTAAATAAGGACCATGACCATTTTATCCAAAATCTATTACGATATGCGCAGTTACACAATTAAGAAAAAATACACTGTATAAATGATATGGAGGGGTTCAAGTCGTTTATATGTGACTGGAACTATAAACATTGATAATAGTAATATCGTTATTAAACACAACAAGATCATTGATATCTTTGTTTTTCTTAACACATCCAAAATATTTTTTAAAGTACGTATTAAAAATGGCGCTGTAGTTATAAAGAATCATAAACAGATAAATCGGTTTAAGCGTATATACAATAAAAGCAACGTCGTTGAAGGAAGGGTTGTAATCTGGTTGAAAAATGAAATTACTCAGTATCATATCGACCATCCAAGGAACTGCGCATATGAAGTAAGCGTTAGTCAGTAAAAAATCTATATCTTTTATGTGGAAAAAGTTTTTCAGTCCTATTTTAACTGCGTAAGTTATGTTGTAAACTACTATCGAAATCATAAATAATATACACACCGAAATTGAAAATATGGTGGATTCTACGCTTACTTGCAGATGACATTTCTGTGACGTTATCTCTAACACTACACTAGTCATAAGTAGAAAGTAAATTAGGCACAATAAAATCACAAACTTCTGTCTGGTAATATCACAGTTCGGGCTAATTAAATTAAAAAACGACTTAAATAGTAGGCCTAATATTAGCAGGATTTCATAGGGAAATATTATTTCCCTGGCCTTAATTATGCAGTCTTCGTATTTGTAAACAAAATGGGGCAGTGATAAGACTACTGCGCTAATAATACTTAAATTCAGTAAAATTATAAACGACCTGTCTTTGAGTAAGCGTCCGTATCTTAAACAGATGAAAGTGAAAACTATCTCCAGTAAAATTATTATTAGGGACGAGTATCTTATTATATCCTGCAGGACTCTGTGTTGCTGACGTGTGTCCATATCCTGTAAAACAAAGTAGATCTTTTAGATGTAATATTAAGAAGGTATTTCAAGAAATATGTTATTTAAAAACACTCATCTTTTTAATATCAGAAAATATGAATTAAATCTCAGAATTCGTCAATCAGATAACTATGAGTGTATGTAACTGTATTCCATGAAATTATAAATAAAAGGAATAATGAAATTAATTATAATATTCTTTACTATGTAATGAAAGATCGATGTCTTAAAGTTAATCAATAATAATTTCAGGTTTAATATAAGAGCATCTTGCGTTATTTTAGATTTCTTTTATGAAATACACTAGTCACAAAAATTAAGAGATATAAAAAAAACATGCCAAATTTTTGGGCGATTTTCAAAGAGCTGTAACTTGGAGGGAGTTGGTGGTAGAGAGAACTAAAAAAGAAAGGAAATGGAAGCTTCAAGTTTCTAGTTTTCAGATCTGGAGTTTAAAATTCATTAGCGTCAGCGATTTTTGAGTAATCATAAGAAAACCAACGACATTTTTGCTTGTCTTTAAAAAAGTCTATGGACTTCAATAATTTTATTTTGGAAATTTTACCATAAAGCTCTTTTTTCGAAGTGATATTTGTTGGAAAAAAGTAAAAAATTACATAATTAGGGATATTTGAATAACCTGGCAAAACTTTCCAAATAATTGATAAACTAAAATTCAGTGGATTTATTCCTCTCTCGTGGCTATAAAAGTTGCAAATAAATAAAACTATTAGAAATTTGTACACATCCCAGCTACAACAGCATGCAGTTAGGGGTAGGAAAATATTAATTCAAATTTTAAAAGTCAATAATGTACTTACCAAATCTTTCGTAGATATCCTTTCAAATTATTTTTCGGGGAGAAGACAATGGAAATTGGTTTGTTCGTACAGATGCGAAAGTTAATTAACTATTTCGTACATCCATTCCAAATTTTTAAAATCATTCATGTTCATTTTGAAATAATTAATGGTCCTGATATTCCCTCCTTCTGGACTTTGCCTGAAAATTTGTCTCTTGAACTGTTTTGTGTTAACATTTTTATAAACATGCAATCACTCATTCCTACTCTGTATTGGATAGGACCTACATATTATATCAGTTATTTACATAAACTTTAGGCGTTCCAATTTGACAATAAAGTGATGTTTTGTACAGTACTGGCACCAAACATCAAACTGTATCAGCAAAACAGTTGTGAAACCCAATTTTTGACACAATTGTGAATTATTACTGACAGAGTCCCAGTAGCAATTTTATTCAGTGGCATAATACGTTCAAGACATTTAACATTGATGAAAATGGTTTTAGTTATTAGAGTGTAATAGGGTGTAATAACTATAAATTTTCAAGGTCGAATATTATCCCTAAAACAAACAAAGAAGACTTATTTTCTCCTAAGCGATTCCTAAGGACTCCATGATCCTTCGAGGATTAGAAATGAGGCACAGTTTTTGATCACCATTACTGTAGAATCATCGAAGACAAAGACTTCAAACTTGAATAAAATCTAACAAGTGGCATTGAAATTTGATTTCAAGTTTCTAGCGAATTTCTGTGTAATAAAAAATGAACCAGACGGAAAGTTAAACCGAAAGTTTAATTAGGTAATAATTGTGCAAAATGTTAGTAAAGCCATTAGCATCTACTTCCTATATTTTGGCTACAGTTACGTTTGGTATTTATAAACATTTGTTTGTAAAATTCTCCAGTTGCCGTTAACTTAAAACAAAGGAAACTATTAAAATGTCTAAAGACTTCGTAGCCTTTGAACGGAATATTTTAATATGTAATATATGGATATCTCTGCATCTGAGGTCGTTCAACTGAAATAATGTTATACCTACTGTTAAATTATTTTTTCGTGAACGAATACAATAACTGATATAATTTAAAAATTCGTTCGCATAATAGTTTTATGATGTAACATTAACATGAATGTTCAGCTTTGGCGCTACGAAAAAATATGCCATGACATGTTTGTGTCGAAAACGATACATCAAAAAATATTAAGAAAGTGTGTTTTGATTTTAAATAGATCTACATAATAGGTATACTGGTATTTTCGCTATCAATGTTGTGATTATTTACAAGAGTAACAATTAACAAGAGTTATACGTACCACAAATCTTTGAAAAATGCTTCAGAAATATTTTCCTGGAATGTCTTGTTCCGTTTGGTATTAAATTTTCTATTTTCCTCAGTAAAAAGTTCATCTAGGTATACCACTAATACCCCAGTTACCCGACAATAACAGTGGCTATCACAAGATTTCTTAACGTACTAAAATCGTTCTACAATGTTAGTTAATCCATTAGTTTGATGTCAATGTTTCTAATTAACAATATCATTGGCTTATCTCGTCTTCGAAAATATCGTAGTGATAACCTACCGATCCCCAAGGGAGAAACAAACTAGGGTTATCTTGTATAATGAATAATAAAATGTTAATTATGTATATGAGCTGAATAAATGTTGATGAAATATTATTTTTGCACACCATAGGATTAAAGTACTCTTCAGTCCCTACAATTTCAGGGAGAAAAGTGTAATTCTTAGCACCCAGATGTGGAAGGCTCATTTAATCCCTCTAAGAAAAATATGTCGTTATCATTTTGGACAATATTCAGTTGTGATTAATATTCTGTTGTTTTTACTGTTTCTCCAAATCTTTCCTCAAATAATTAATATGTTAAATTAATGTCATGGTAATTGGTATCCAATTTGACGTTTACGACACGTATATTTCTATTATCCCAGCTTTTGGATACTGGCGGTGTCATTCCTCATTTAGGAGGTATCTAAAATTACAATACATAAAATAACTAAATAACAATTCTGTGATGAAAATAGAATTCCTCCAGGTGGATTTTAAAATTAAGTGTCAATAATTTTATCATTATTATTTTAGTTACGGATGAGGCTTTTCAATTTTCATAACATCGCGTGGATTTGTTTAGATTAAATTTGAACACCAAATTTTCTTGTTTGTTCAGACATATAATTTATGGTCATAATGAATATTCTTCTGAATATTCCTTACAATGCACTGGAGACGGTTTTTATTTCAGCCCTCAAAGATACACCGTGTATACAATTAATTCTGTATCCCTTTGTACTTGCGTTTGCTTACTGAGATATGCAACAGACTGGTAAACGGAGATAAATGGCTAATAAACTGATATTATTGCAACTGTCTGCAAATTGCTCTCCAGCAACTGTCGTAATTCAGTTAACTGATTCATAATTTATATGTAATTGTTATTACAGCTTGTATCTGATTGGCGAACAACATTCAAACTTCATATACAGGATATTACTTGAAATTAAAATTAGTAAACTACTTGCACTAAATATAAGGAAGCTTATAAAATCGTATTGTATGCAGTGGGAGCTAATTACTGCTAGTAATTAATAATATTAAATATTGAAGTAATAATAGGCCCATTCAGTAAAAATTTTTTATTGCATATTTCAAAAGTTTACCCTTTAATTAGNCAGCGTTGACCTTTTTAAGGGTCTTACAAATTCAGAATTAAATATATCACTTATTATTAATCCTATTGACCTAATTTTTTTAAGATATAATTAGGTGGGTAAATACTATCAGAAAATTAAAGAAAAAGTTTAAAATTAAATATCACTGAATGGGCCTATTGAACTTATTTAGATAAGTCTAATTCAGACATTGGAATTATTTTTCATCTTTACTCCAGAAACATGTCAAAATTATAAGAATTCATTCACAAAACATAAATATAAATATCAGTATTGTATTAAGCTATACCAAAACATTATCGATTAACCCAAAAGCCTATGGTACTACTGAATACATGTGCCACAAATAATAATATATCCTAGAATTTGTATTTTACACTGCTGTTTGTGTGATATGTATATAAATAAATAAATCAATAACTTTGTCGCGAGTAACATTTCCAACAATGGATAAAAAACCGGTACCAGACTTTGGAAGTTTGTAAAGGAAGGAGGGAAACGGTTTTTCGCTTTCTGGTCTAAACAGAAATTACTTTTAGTAAAATTCTTCAAATATTTCTAAGGTACAATGATACAAAGCATATTAAGTGTGGTTAAATAACTATAAAGGGTGACCGCTGTAAATATCGTTCAATATGAGAACTACATCCCATTATACATAGAATACTTTAGAAATCATTGTTAATTTTTTTTCATATTTACACAAACATTGTCTATTTAATTAAAAATAGCACGATTCTAATTGGGCAACAGTAACGAATTTCTTTTTAACTTCAATTTCAATCCGGTCGAAATGCAACTTCAAAGAGAAAATAAATTGATGCTGTTCCCATAAAATGAATTACTTAGGTATGGCAAAGAAAACTACGTCGACCATATAACATCCTACATATCTTAATTACTATTTTGTTACCATTATCACAAGTATAATAAGTTGCATATTTTATTCTTAGTACAAAAAAATGAGGTCAGTATTTCTCGGAAATTTAAGTACCCTGTTTAGCTTTAATGCTTTAAATATTAAAATTCCTGCGAGTATATACAATTTTGATGTTATCGAAGTTGGAAAGTGACGCAATAGTTGTGTGTAAAGAATTATTGCTTTTATTTTTTTTGCTGATTATTTCAAGTAAAATATTCCGTTCACTTCCTTATTATCAGTATTAATTTATATTAAATATTTATACTGAGCTACTATTAAGTAAAAATTATTGACTCTTATATACAGTGCGCTTCCCGATACTTTTAGGTAAAATAGAATATCAAAAAGTAGGTGTACCTTTTTATATACATACCTAAATCAGTTGGCATTGTATTAGCTATGTCTTGTCCAAATTTGGTTAGTGCATCTCTCTCAGTTGCGAAAATTCAATATGTATGTTTTCAGCCACAAAAAAGTCCTAGGTATACAGAAGTTATATACGACCCTTCCTCTTGCATCAAATTTCTTAGGCAAATTTTTTAGGCGAAGTAGGGTACATGTTGATATACTTTTACTGTAGTTATTTTGCTATTACAATGTATCGCATAAAGACTAAGAAATATTAGATATTAGACTTGAAGCCATTAGTTTATAACGAGATGATTACTAATAAACATCAAACACTAACTTCACAACTGTTCCTGACAGGATAAATGATCTAGAATAATTTAATGTTTGCGTTGGTGTTTCGAAGACTAGAAGTTTGAATTTTGCCTGTCATGTCGAAGATTTAAATGAACTTGATTCAGTAATTTCCTTTTAAAACAACACAATCAAAACCACACTTAACCGAGCAAATTTAAAGTTCCCTATTTACTAGCTTTCTTTCGCGAATATTTGCTTGTGAATGTCTGTCTTAAATATTAAAGGAATCTTTAGAAAAATTATTATTGTCAGCTAACAAAACCCTTTCATAGACAAAAATTTATTAATTTTATGAATATTCGTTAGTAAATGCTCACATTTGCTTAAATGTCTGTCTACACATAAACCATTATTTGGAAATAGAGTTAGTCAAATTATTTGGGTACTCTGACATGTATTGATTTATTTATTCAAAATAGAAAACATTCGAGTTGAATATATCAAACACTTGGCAAGGAATATGAACATAGATACATACGCTGACGGCCTAAAAATGTTTTGGGCAAATTTAATTAAAATTTTGTAACTCTTGCTAAATATGGATATAATTGGCAGACTCAATATGAATCCCGGCTTATTCATGTATGAATATTAATCGTTTTTAAGGAATATATGGAGAAAGAGTCTATTTGTTTTGAATATAGTTTATTTAATATAACTGCAAAATTCTAGGTTTAACATATATGCTTTCAGTAGGCATCCTAGGAACGGAATCTTCAATAGGAACCTTTCAAACTGTCAAATAAATTAAATTGTCAATTAAGAGGCTCTTAATCTTTTATTTCTCACAAATGGCTTTAGGAACTAAAGATATATGTTTGACTAGTTGTTTTGGTTAGTAATACTAGAAGCAAATAGCTAAATTCCCAGCACTTTACTTAATATTCCACTGAATTAAACAGATATGGAAATTTTGCGTGACAAAAACTGTTTCGTTTATTTGCTTACATGTATTAAACTGTTGGGTTTGTTTGGGTAACCGGATTTTCCTTACAAAGTAGGAGCACGTCTTCAGTCGTCTGATGATATTTTCTATAATCATGTTATTTGCCGGGATTATGCATTCGTAGCGCATTGCAGAAAATCTTAATCTTGGTAAATACAATGCAAGATAAGATAGCCGATGTTGTTTCCAAGAAATACTGCGTTTTGTATTCTCGGCGAAAGAAACTCATTTTATAATAAAATTATTCCAAACCATACTTCAAATGAACAAAGGTTAACAGATATTTTTTGGGAGTGTGAAATATATCTGATATGTTGAAAAGTGTGAAGTATTTACTTATATTGCGAATTTATGCTGTGCTAAATATAAAGTGCCTACACCAATTCATGCTGTATTAAGCTTTATTCCTTTGTTACTTATAGTTCTTTTAGCCATAGATTTTAAGAGGAAAATGATGGTAAAATAACTAATCAACTAATTAAGTTGCTTTTATTAGAATCGCTTAACCTTCTTTGTAGTTGAAATCTAGTATCCAGATCCAAATATCGATTGATAAGTTATGATGGTCGAGTTTGGTCATTTTTTCGGTTTTTGGTCGTGAATCTTGAATAACTGCCTCAGTGGAATCATTTCATCATCTCTTGGAGTTCATCATAGCTGAACGAATGAATGCTGCCCAACATATTGAAGACATTCTTGTACATTATATTTATTTGCTGGAGCTCAGCTCATATGTAGCAGGTCAGATAAAACAATTCCTGGAAGCAATCAAATTCCAGTTATCGACTGGCCAGTTCTTAGCCCAGATCTTAGTCCAATCGAACAATTGTGGAATGAGCTGGACTCAGAAGTCGACTTTTAGCTCCAGAAAAGTTTTTGGCAGTTCTTCAGGAAGAATGGGGGTAACATACTCCAAGAGGATATCCAGAGGATGATTGAAAGGTTGGCATTCTAGGTGTCAGGCCATCGTTCAATTTTGTAGAGGTCGTACTCGATTAAATTTCCTTTAAAATTTATTTTTTTTTGGTTACATGATTCTAATTTGTAGTTGATTCACTTATCGTTTTAGTTTATTGCACTGTTTTTCAATGTTTCATTGTTTTTTGCGGTAAAATGTTCAAATTTATTTGATCATATGAGAAATAAATGATAAAATAATCAGCATGCTAGATTTCATTGCCTTTACAAAATTGTATAGAATATTACATTTGTTTTCATTTTTCATTTAATGTGACTATTTATAT